TAGTTTTGTCAGAACCAGTCAGTTGTTGCAGTACTTTTTATTGCAATTGTTCAGGACTTCTGAAAAAGTATGTTTCCTACTTTTTTTTCACCTTATTCTATCATGGGACTTCTTATAATTATTTCTCAAAGTAAGATTAGTATTAATAATTGTATTGAAAACCTCATGACACTTACTCCCAAAAGGTGTTTCTTCCCCATGAGTTAGGGAATCCGACTATCCATTACAGAGCCAGTAACTAATATTAGAGCAGGCCATGTCTGTTTTTCAGAGTAGGAGCTACAGAGCTAATTGCAGATTTTCTTCATGCATCCAAAGTCAATTTTCATTCTTTTGTGGAGCAGCACTGTTCATCCATTCACTTTCACTATTCCTACATCCTGTGAAGAACGGGTAAATAATTAATTACCATAGGATGGAAAGGTAGTATAGTTGATGGGACTTCACTCTGCATGGATCTTGTTTTAGCTTGGTCTTGTTTAGTACAAGTGTTAAACCTAATGAAGATGAACAGGTATCCTGTTTTTGTTTTGCTGTTTTATTTTGCTTTGTTTTGTTTTTAAATAAGCTTGCTTATTTAGGATATAAATCAAAACAGAATTGAATAATGAAAACAATGTCATAGTGAGAAATGGGAATCTTATTTTCTTAGTGAATACGTATAATTATGCAAATGATCAAATCAATAACAAGTTAAAAGCAAACCTGAAAGTAGTAACTCAGAAAAGACACTTAAATTAACAAAAAAGGCTGCATAAATAATGTTAGGATCTCAATATGGTTTAGAGCTATTGCAAATATGATTTCACAGATGCTTACGTTTTTATGTTCACATTTATTTCACAAGGTTAAGTAAACTGCTGTTGGCAGTAGCAAAGTGAAGTTCCATGAAGTTTTCTGAAGGAGAAAAAGCTCTGCTTGCAGCAGAAAAAGAGTTTTGTGGTGAAGTTTTCTGTAGAGGTTGGAGTACATCTCCCATTATGTGCCAATGCTAAATGGTCTTATGATGTGCTCCTCCTTTTTGACCTTAATGGAAAAGAGTTGCTCCACAAGAAACATGGTCTGGCAAAAGGACTTGGAACATACAGAGTAAAGGGGCATTTCTGTGTTTCTTTTGAGTGTTTCAGTTTCTAGGAAAGGTATTGTTTGTTCTTTCTGCAAATGAAAAACTGTAACACCCCCAAAAATGACCCAACTTCATAGTATCTTTAAAAATTAAATTGCTTTCATTTTTCTGTGGACATGGAAAAAGTATCTGGAGTATATAGTTATACTGTAAAAATTCTGCTCAACCTACACAAGCAAAGGACAGGCCTGAAGATTTGCCTTGTTCATAATTCAGATCCTTGTTGTGTGTGATGAAACTTTTTCATTGTAGTTTCGGTTTGCCAGATGTTCAGCTGCCATTTTCCAGTTAAGTAACATTGATTATGTCTTAGAAAAATGATTAATTCTTCATTTACAGTGTTAGAGAAGGGAAAATATGCAAATACTCTTAAATGGCAGTTTCTTACCACACACACAGATAGTGGGATAAATACATGCTAATGTGTGTGTGTGGTTCAGGGTGTGAATGAAGGAGATCAAAAAAATTACAGTTTGATCTTGTATTTAGCTGATAAAATCTACTGTTTTTACACAGACTGTGTTATATATTGTACAGGGAATAACTATGGTGTTCTTAGAGGACAAGCAAAAGATAATTTGAAGGAACTCAAAGGTACCATTTATTTTAGCTTTCTACAATGGATAGTAATATATAATTACAGTAAATAAAGGGGAAAAATATATAAATCGGTGTTAAATTCTCTTCCTTCAGTCTCTTGTTTGATTCACTGCATACTTTCTACTACACATCTTCCTGTCATTTTATGTTGTTCGGTGTATGCTATGCCCTGACTGACAATCCCACCTCTCTGAGCCTTTCCTCATCTGAGAGATGTGTCAATCTCTTCATAATGTTATTGGCTGGACTCTTTCCAATAGCTCCATATCTGTCTTGTACCAGGCAGCCCAGAACTGACACAGCACTTCATTTGTGGCCTCTCCAGGGCTGGGTAGAGGAGAAGATCACCTCCCTTGGCATGCTAACAGACTCCTCTTTATGCATCCTGGGATGCTGTTAGACTTCTTGGCCACAGGGGCATATTGTTGACTCATGTCCAGCTTGGTGTCCAGCAGGACTCCTAGGTCCTTCTCTGTAAAGATTTGTATCTATCAAAACCTTTTTTATCTGCTTACACTTGTATATAATTTATTGCAACATATCACTCTCAGTCACTGTAAAACTACACAGAGATGAAATAATATGTAAGATTTTTTAGTTTGCTTATTGTGCACATATGCATGATATACATATATGTAGGTAATATTTTGTTCTTGATGTGACAATCCTCATGTAATGAGAAATCTACAAATCATAAACTTTCAGCAATTGATTGACAAATACTTTTAGTGAGACTAGAAAAATACTGCTGCTTTCTAAACAAAACTGTTGGCAGGCCTCCTTTCACTTTTAATTTTGTAATCCATTTCTGGAAGAGCTTTTTGGAAGCTAGTCTTTATCTGGTATATGTGAAAACCTCATCATGGCTAGGCTTCGCGAACGAAGATTTGGGAAGGCTCTATCCACATTTGCTACAGGCTCGCTGGTGGCTTATGAGGCCAATACGTGACAGACATATCCGATTGCAAAAGGCACAGCAGAAAGACTCCTTAGATGGTGTATTCTGCAAGACACGGTTCTTTCTGCGTTGCCTTTTTTCCTTGAGAGTGATCCTGTGTGTGTTCTCGAAGGAGACAGCTGCGTTATAGATGGTGTGTCTCCAGGCCTCCCGATTTGAGGCCAGAGTAGACCAGTTATGGTGATCAATATGGCCAAGGCTGAGATGTTGTTTCAGGGAGTCCTTGTATCTTTTCTTCGGGGCTCCTCTCATGCGGCAGCCAGTGGCAAGTTCACCATAGAGCAGGATCTTAGGGAGGCGGTGGTCCTAAACTGGTAATAAAACAGTTTTTAGGAGATGTCTGATATTTACTTGTGGGTATGGATTAATAGTGCCCATTTTTGCCCATTTTGCACTGATAAATACGCAGAGAAATGAGGAAATTCTGTATGGCTGTTATGTAATAGGAATCACAAACATGTGTGCTAGTAGTGTAATTTGTCTCAAATGTATTTTCTCTTTTCTTTCCTTGACACACTTCCTAGAAAAGTTTTTTCTCTTTCCAAGTTCATGTCTCAGTATTACATTTTAAAAAGACAAAATGTTTTAATAATTTTTTTCTGTAATCTATAAATCATAAAATTTTTAACATTGGAAAAGATCTATAAGATCATGAAGTCCAATTGTTAATGTTAGCACCACCGTGTTCACCATTAAACTATGTCTGCAGGTGCCACATGCACATGTTTTTTGAACACTTATGGGGATGATGACTCAACTACTTCCCTGGGCAGCCCACTCCAGTGCTTAACCACCGGTTCAGTGAAGAAATTCTTCCTGATGTCCAATGTGAACCTCCCCTGGCACAACTTGAGGCCATTTCCTCTTGTCCTGTCACTGGTCGTCTGTGAGAAGAGGCTGACCCCCACCTTGCTACAACCTCCTTTCAGATAGTTGTAGAGAGTGATAAGGTCACCCCTGAATGTCCTTTTCTGCAGAACAAACAACCCCAGCTCCCTCATCCACTCCATCTAGGACTTGTTCTCCAGACCCTTCACCAGCTCTGTTTCCCTTTTCTGGACTTGCTCCAGTACCTCAATATCCTTCCTGAATTGAGGGCACCAGAACTGGACACTACTCAAGGTGTGGCCTCATCAGTGCCGAGGGACAGAGAGACAATCACTTCCCCACTCCTGCTAACTACACGATTTCATACAGGTCAGGATGCCCTTGGCTTTCTTGGCCACCTGGGCACACTGCTGGCTCATGTTCAACCAGCTGTTGACCAGCACCGTCAGGCTTTTTTCTACTGGGCCACTTTCCAGTCACTCTTCTGACAGCCTGTAGCACTTCATGGGGTTGTTGTGACTGAAGGGAAGGACCCAGCATTTTGCCTTATTCAATCTCTTGCCACTGGCCTTGGCACATTGATCCAGCCTGTCCAGATCCCTCTGTAGAGCCTCCCCACACAAATTGATTCCGTCTGCCCATGTTCCATGCCCTATCTTAACTCAGAAAGATACCTTTCAAATTTATTTCCTGATTTCCAAAGTTTATCTCAGTGGATTCAGAAAATCCATGTCACAGAAATCACAGGTGTATCCCAAGCAAGCATATCAATGGTGTTTGTCAACATGAGAACTAAACAAATAGAATGCAGTTGGGAAAAATATGAATCATAAATTCACTATGTACAAATTGGTTGGTGCAAAAGTTGATTTGACCAGTTATGCTAGAATATACAAGTAAACAATTTCATTTGAAGTCCTAGAATGAGTGGAGCTGTTGCACACTGTGTGACGTCCCAGGACAATCGTACTGAGCTTGACTTCAAACAGTTAACTTCCTTTCTTTTTTGTTATCTTTACTCTGATAAAATGTTCTAAGCTTTTAATTTGGCAGAAGGGGGTAAGAATACCATTACAGAAAAGTCTGGGACAACTTCCCAATCTAGATTTTCTTCAGCATTCTGACTCTTAACTTTTTATATTTTTAAACAGTATTAGGAAATGAAATAATGTCTCTTTACTGTTTATATGAAGTTGATAGCCCATATAAGTTTGAAATACCGTTGTCTGTTTGTCTCCAAATTTCAATAACAAAACAGCTAAAATGTAGCAAAGTTATTTGCAGACTGCAAACACCTATAGATGCCACAATGCTAGTATGTTACACATTTGATCATCACATTGTGGCAGTCTATTTTTGCACTCAGCTTTTTTAAAACTCCTAAACTTTTTTTGCTGTCTGTTAATGTATTCCAACCATCAGTAATAACGCCTCTTGTAATTATATTAATGATGAAACAAATTGTTTGTTTTACCTAATATATTTCAGAGATACCAATGTGATTGTTTGCCCGGATGGGAAGGAACATTTTGTGAAAAGGAATCGAATGAATGTAATTCAGAGCCTTGTAAAAACAATGGCACTTGCATGGATCTTTTCAACAGCTATCGGTAAGCACTGCATCTTCTCTGTGGCTGAATGATCATGTACCAGGAATGACAGGTTTATGCAACTCAACCCAAACCAAACCAATCAACCAACCAACCAAACCATCAAAGCAAAAGAACTCTGTGAATTCAAAACATTTAGCAAGCAACAAAGTTTGGAACTGTACTTTTTCAAAGAAAATGTAGTATCTCTTTCTGTCATGTTTTCCCTGTAAGCACAGGAGATGCTTTAAGAGTAAAAGTAGTGGGAGTGGACAGTTATACAGTCTTGGATGAAGAGATTATATCATTGCTGCCACCTTGTGGCTTAAAATGACAACAAAATAGTAATTTATCTAAAATTTATAGCCGCTCAGGCAAAGCATGAGAATTTGACACTAACCATATTAATTTTGCCTTAAACCCCAATTTTTATCTTATGCATGCTTTTATAGTTTAAACATTATTTTGTTTCAGTATTATGGGGATAAGAATTCCACAAACAATCCAGTAATGAGGTTCTGCTCTTTGTAGACAGGTTTTGTCTCTGTTATGATGTCAATACTAGAACAGTCCTGTAAATTCTTAATAGGTATTGTTATGGCTGCATAAAGAGCACAGTGTAATAACCGTGCATGGTGCATGGTCTAGTTGTTGTGCAGTGATTATATTCCGGGTAATATAGACAATAATCAGAAAGAAAACAGTTAACAACAGACAAGTGATTCCCCAAATAGCCAAAGATAAATTTAACTAATTTAAATAATATATATAATATTTTTTGCATTAATTTAAATCCAGAACTTAAGGGAAATACTTTGCCATGTCCTAGAACTGGCTATTCAACATCCTATTTTGGAAAAATATTTTCAGTTTGATAACAGAAAAACAAGTGTTGTGATGTTAAGAAAATCTGTTAAAGTCTTTTCAACTACTTTTTTTTTCATTTTTTAAAGTCTGTTGGGATATGAAAAAAATTGTTAACTATTTTTATTTTTGTGGTCCTTTTTTTCTGATGCTTGTAGTTCTTTGTAGTCTACTAACAAAAATTATGTTATGACTGAATATTGCTTATGCAGGCTTAGGTCTTTCATTATGGCAATTTGAATTCTTACATGTTGTAATGGATTGAATAGGCAATTTCATCATCCTCAAGGACAATTCTAGGTGTATGAATATTTTGCAGCCATGAATCTTTACCTGCCTTTACATTTCATGAACTTTTTCAACCTCTGGGGCATTCTATGTATTGCAAAAGGTAACAGGGTTTCTTCTGATTTTATTCAAACTGGGTCAGCTACATATGCACTAATCCAAGGACCCCCCATTTTTTATTGAGAATAAAATGCTCCAAAAGTACTTTTTCTGCATTTGAGAAATACTGAACTGTTACAGAAAATGTTTCCAAGAAAATTTGTTTGAACTGTAAGCACCATACGTATTTTTCCTCAGAGCTATCTGTCCTAGTTGACATAATGGAACAGAAAAATTAGACATATTCTTGAATCATCATATACAAGGGTCACGATTACACCAAACAAAAATTCTTTAGAGATACTTGTAGTTGAAACTGTAAGTTTGAGTCTTGGCAACCACAAGGAAAATTAGTGTGGCTTGATGTTTTAGTCATATAATCTGAAGCAATTTCATTTCAACCGTTAGAGCTGTTATTTTGTCAATCTGTTTTGCCCCTGCCCCCCGCCCTCCCTCGCACCCGGTAACAAGCATGGATTTAAGGAACACAGACACCAACTTTAAAAACAAGTGTATAAATTTACTATAATGCAGTGGCTTATGAAAGGATACACTTAACGATGCAGCTAATAATTACTAAAAAAGAAAGTCTTATCGTGATTAAGAGAGATACATCACCAGTTGCTCTAAGTAATTATCATCATCCAGACCGCACTTCAGCTGAGAAGGCCCCGATCACAGCAGAGGTCTGGAGAAGCTCTTCCCAGCAATTGGGAAATCCTATGCAGTGTGTCCACCCATAGGGGAGGCCTCATCTTTGCTTTGAGAGGGTCCAGCTTATATAGTGTTAAACAAATTAGCTTACATCACTGGACTGTTGTAGAAAAACAATGTGGCTTTATTCTCCTCCTTGTTTTCCCCTTAGGCCTGGCCAGGGCCCAAGGTAAAATGAGGAGTCAGTTTGGACTGACTATTATCAAATGCCCCATGACCTTGCTTAGTCTCTAAATATAGAATTACGACTACTTTGATATCTCAAATATGAACCAGCTGCCTACTGTTCCCACGACCTTGGCTGAAAAGAAAGGAATATTTATAACACATACAAACCTTACTAATTATTGATAATATGCTGTGCTAACAAGCATAAATGTGTATTCTTAAAGCATTACTAAGGATTATATAGATTCTTCATTAATAAGCAGATATATGGCTAAATACAATACTAGGCTAAATATAATATTAGGTTGGAGAGTTCATCTTATAGGTCAGCTTTGGCTCAGGGCTAGTCCTTCAGGCCCCAGTATTATAGCTGTCCTAGTTTATACTCACAGATGCTAAAAGATATTTTGCTTTTTTTAAAATTACTCTTAATTTAAAAAATGTGTTGGTTTCTATTACCTTTGGTAACACTTTTCTGTTGAAACACACATCAATAAGACAAAGTGTTTGTCTAATGGTAGCTAAGCAGTGGCAGTAACTACAACCTGATCCTGAAGACATTCAGCTGTATCTTTAAAATTAAACATAGTCTTTAAAATAGGATAACTGTATTCTAGCTGCCTAATATAAAAGATCATTGGCATTCTTGAGCTGTGCCTAGGCATTTTTTTGGACAAGCACTAAGTTGGTCTGGACCAAATTCAGGCCAGCAACTGCTCTGAGAATGCAACAGTGATAGACAATGCAATTTCCTTGCCTGTGGCCATATTCTGGCACTGTTTATTTGTCTGCTGTAAGTTTAGCTGCTGGCAGCAATGCTCAGAATTTTTTGAATTTCTTTGAAGTTGGCCACACCACTACCTGTACTTGATAGCCTTTCCAGCTTAATGTAAAGGATAGATAACAGAGATTTCTTTTATGCTTTGATAATCCTCATTAGTTTACTTTCTCTTAAGTATTTGCAAATCCAGCTGAAAACATCATATCTTTAAAAACTAGGTAATTTATTACGCAACAAATATNTGTGAATATAATACAAAATGAAATATTTCCCTACCAAATTCAAATCTGTAATCAGAAAATAATAATATAAACCATAATTACTAATTTAAAAACTCACTTTAAGTTCAATTTTTTAGCTGGGGCTATTTTTTGCTGAATCTTGATATGAAAACTAGCTGCCAAAACTGAAGAATCAACAATTATGGCAGAAAAGAGTGCTTTTCTTTATGGATTCCATCATAGGAAAATAAATCACATTCTAACGGGAAGAAAAAAATTAAGCCTTCTCAAGTGCATATTTTTTTTAAAAAAACAGGTAAGAAAGATACTGAATCAATAGTCAAGCTTGAATAGTTTGTTACATATTTTCCATTTCATTTGAGTTAAATTATGTTCAGCTGATAAAATAAAAAATACCTTTTTCTTCCTTCTCACTTTTCAGTTTGGCACATGGCACAGCAAATATATTAATTTAGAATAGTTTCATGCATGTATTTCCAGTACCCTATGAACCTCACTCTGATTCTCACAATAACTTGATCTCTCAAATTATGTCTCTGAACACTTATTGAGAGATGCATCTACTTCCAGCTGAATTCCCTGTTTCTTCTCTATTGTATCAGCTCTCCTGATACTTCTGAGGTTTCGCCCTAAAAACATCAAATCCTAATTAAAGCCCCTGCGACTCCTCTGCTGTTACTAACTAACAAGGAAACTTTAGGTGAAAATCTCTTCAACTCTTCTTGCAAAATAATAGGCAAAAACTTTACGGATGAACCAGAGTTTCTAATGATGTAGAATAGTTTGGAACTCGGCTGTAATCATTATGACATTAGAACCTGGAGAATTAAATGTCTTCCCAAAGTACTCCATTCTTTCTCTATATTCATGTTGAATCCCACAGATTCATACTATTTACCATTTTATCAGTATCTGTTGTTGAGGGGTTTATAAAGAACAAACTGGTAAGTGTCTTATTGGTGTTTTTCTTGTTATAATATACCAATGGACTTGTCTGTACTAAACAGGACATTAGACCTACCTAACTATATTTTCTGATGCCATCTATGCATCTTGTCCTGTTGCTTCATAGCATTTGAAGCCATACCTTCTTTTCAGAACAAAAAAATAATTTTTCATTACTTTAACTGTCATCTAAGTTCTTAAAAAAAGACTAGCCTTATGTCATTAGGATGTATTCAGTGTCATGCACACCATGAACTTTATTTATAGTAGTGTTACAGAAAAACACTTTTTTACCCCCTTCCAGAGAGGATTTATTCAGAAAAGGGAAGTCAAAATCAGCCTCTGCATTTCCTCAGAACTATGCAAGAATTTTTCTGTGCCAAGTTTGAGAAGCAGGTGATTCCTAAGTTAAGGATGTGTGAACATGTGAAAGATCTATAAGTAAAAGCATGCCTATTTACACAGTGCATTTTAAAGATATGCTTATTTCTGAATGAATGAGTTTTAAACTGTCATGGAATTCAAAGGTAAATTGTGATATGATTGTAATTTGAATGCTGTGTTCAGTTTGCCTTCTGTTTTTACTGCATTCCTTTTAACTACTGTTATACTCTTCCTTACTTTTTTTCCCCCAGAAGCAATAAACAGCTTTTCCCACAGATGGGGATCACCTTGATATTTAACGGTCCCAGATGCCAAATGCTGAAACATTTTCTTGCAAGCAACAACTGGCTTCTTATCTGGCATTTCTTCAGGGTTCTTTGGCCAAACCTTCCTCTCTTGCTGTGGAGACTTTTCTCAAAACATTTGTCTATTGCACTTCTAACTTATCTTTCTTTTGGAATTGTAGGGTTTTTCCTCATCCTAGTGCCAAGTTAGGTACACACCTCTTACTCAAAACCATCTTTAAAAGATTTATA